ATACCAATGATGGGGCACTATTCCCCCCACTGATACTAATGATGGGGCACTATTCCTGCCACTAATGCCAATGATGGGGCACTATTCCTGCCACTGATACCAATGATGGGGCACTATTCCTGCCACTGATACCAATGATGGGGCACTATTCCTGCCACTGATACCAATGATGGGGCACTATTCCTGCCACTGGTGTGCATTGGAAGAGGGGTAGTCTTATACGGCGAGTATAGCTCAAACACTAAATTTTAGCAGGAAAAGTAGGGGGGTCGTCTTATACGCCCAGTCGTCTTATACGCCGGCAAATACGGTACTAAAATAAAATCAACTTTTTGATGGTATTTTAATTTTTTGAGATGCGCTTGTACATTGAGGGAATATATACTAAAACTGGAGAGTGCAAAATAGGGTGCAGCTCTAGAAAGAAACCAATCAGCTTCCAATTTTTTTTTTGTCAAAGCTTAATTGAACCAGCTGATGTTAGAAGCTGATTGGCTACCATGCACAGCTGCACAAGATTTAAGTAAATCAATTCCAATAGGTCAACATGCACCTTCCCATTTACCTCTGGTTCACATCTATGCGGCCGTGCAGGCTGCGTTTTGCACGGGCACGAGAGAGCCCATTCATTTGAATGGACTCCTGTGCCCGTGATACGCAGGGAATGAAGCCCCTGCACTTCTTCTGAAAATGCAGCTCGCACGAGAACCTCGGTTCCCAGTATGGTTGCGTTTTCCAGCGTGCCATTATAACGAATGGCACCCGCCTGCGGGTCCGCATTTCTCTGGTGCGGCTGCACGGATTTTCACGCAGATCCGCAGCGGCACCACCCACATAGATGTGAACCAGGGGTCAAGGGGTAAAATATATTCTCAGTCACTCTTTTCAATGTCCTGCTAAAGATATGCGTTTCCACTCCTCCTCCCCTTTATCCAAACCACTGCCATGGCAAATTCTCCTGGTCTATAATTTTGTTTTCTGGGCATGCACAGAAAATTCCTATTTTTCCAAGAGAGGCCATCTACTTTCAGCAGATGGAACCACAGTGCACAGTGTGAGATGCAGTTACCCCACATTCCCAGAATTCTTGAATGCCGAAGGGTCCTTATGTTGGAACCGAAAGAGGGTCCATGCCACTGGAAAAGTAAGTATGCTATCTCTTCTTTTGCGGGGAACTAATTTAGGACCAAACTTCCAGGAAGCTGGTTACTCACCTGTCCATGCTTCCCACCCCATTGCTGCTACAGACTCTCCCTGGTCCATTATTTGTTTAGTACATGCAAAGAAAAATCAAATTCTTCCTTTGGAGAAGTCATCCTCCACTGGGATTTATTCGCAAAGAACAAACAAAAACCATCTGGGAAAGTGTGCAGTGTCGGCTGTGCAGTTCACAGTGGGCTAGGTATCGAATATATAGAAGCGTGGATAGGTGTTTTTTAGGACTTTGAAGGAGCGAGGAGAAGAAGTTCAAGGATAACTACATGAAACAGTTGTCCCTTAATTCCAGACTATGGCAAATGCTACACAAGTGATTAAAACTGCTGGCTAGCAAAAGTAAGTCTCTTGCTAACCTTCCTTTCATTTGAAGTACAATCATTTCAACTGAAGCATTAAATCTTCTCTCTAACAAGCAGCTTTACTCTTCTGTGTTGTTGCTTCCACCTTGCAGGAAATATTCAAGTGCAAACTCTCTTTGACAGTTCAGAGACAAGCCGTTGCTATACCATATAAAGAAAAATGGAGGTCCGGTCACATGGGTTACGCACCAGCTGGTGAACAACTTGGCACGTGTGAATATCTATTAACCACGATAGAAAACATAAAAAAGAATAAGTAAAAACAACGAAAAAAAGGTGGACTATCATGCTTTATTTATCACCACACACTTCCTCAAAAATGGAGTTGCACTTTATTTTGTACACAACCAGCCCAATACATAACATCTCCTCTGGGGAGCAATTAGCATCGCATGAAAATTGTCCACCTGTACTATAACATCATTGGTATCCCATCGCCCTCCCTTCCCCCATCGCCGAGCGTCACAATGGTGACATTATCAGCCTGAAATAAAAGCTTCATCTGATTTCATTGGTTTTTATTATCCCGTACTCGGCAGAAGAGATTTTTCACAGTGACTTTCTCTAAATGACCTGCCGTGAGAGAAATTCGGAATCGCATGAAAGGTACATGAGCTGCAGAGAAAGTAGGAAAGGAAAAGGAACTTATTCTGCAACCTGACAAGCGACGATCCCTTAACAGCTGGCTAAAGATCAGAACCAAAAGAGAAATTTGGCATTGCTTGAGACTATGGGAGCCACTGCAATCCCAAATTACCCCCTCTACTTTCAAGGGGATAGCTACCAATGTGCAAGAAAGTTGACCTCTAACCTTCCCTTCAGTCTTACACAGGTGTACCGGCTCCTCCCCTTCAGTCTTGCACAGGTGTATCGGCTCCTCCCCTTCAGTCTTGCACAGGTGTATCGGCTCCTCCCCTTCAGTTTGCACAGGTGTATCGGCTCCTCCCTTCAGTCTTCCACAGGTGTACCGGCTCCTCCCCTTCAGTCTTGCACAGGTGTACTGGCTCCTCCCCTTCAGTCTTGCACAGGTGTACCGGCTCCTCCCCTTCAGTCTTGCACAGTTTGTACCGGCTCCTCCCCTTCAGTCTTGCACAGGTGTATCGGCTCCTCCCCTTCAGTCTTGCACAGGTGTATCGGCTCCTCCCTTCAGTCTTCCACAGGTGTACCGGCTCCTCCCCTTCAGTCTTGCCCAGGTGTACTGGCTCCTCCCCTTCAGTCTTGCACAGGTGTACCGGCTCCTCCCCTTCAGACTTGCACAGTTGTACCGGCTCCTCCCCTTCAGTCTTGCACAGGTGTACCGGCTCCTCCCCTTCAGTCTTGCACAGTTGTATCCGCTCCTCCCTTTCAGTCTTGCACAGGTGTACCGGCTCCTCCCCTTCAGTCTTGCACAGGTGTACCCGCTTCTCCCCTTCAGTCTTGCACAGGTGTACCGGCTCCTGCCCTTCAGTCTTGCACAGGTGTCCCGGCTCCTCCCCTTCAGTCTTGCACAGGTGTACCGGCTCCTCCCCTTTCGGTCTTGCACAGGTGTACCAGGCTCCTCCCTTTCAGTCTTGCACAGGTGTACCAGCTCCTCCCTTTCAGTCTTGCACAGGTGCACCGGCTCCTCCCCTTCAGTCTTGCACAGGTGTACCGGCTTCTCCCCTTCAGTCTTGCACAGGTGTACCGGCTCCTCCCCTTCAGTGTTGCACAGGTGTATTGGCTCCTCCCCTTCAGTCTTGCACAGGTGTACTGGCTCCTCTCTGGACTGAAATGGCTCACTCTGATTTCACTGCACACTGTGAGCTTCTCACAGTGTGCATTAGAAGCTGCAGCAAATCAGATAGAACCATCCTCAATTCCTGCCTGGAAGACATCACATCCAGTACTGTCCCCTGACTACAACAGAGGGTATAATTTTTTCCACTCCCCACAGCCGCCAGTGTGAACGAGGCCTAAATAAATTAGAAAGTAGGTGGAAAGGGTCCAAACCTACACTGGGTTTTTTATGTGTCCAGTTTATATGTAAATCATGTTTTGGAAGGATAAGTTTCAACCACTTGAGTACTAGCCTGTTTGTACCCCTTTATTCCCAGGCCATTTTCAGTTTCAGTTTTCAGTGCTGTGATAGCTTGACTGAGAATTAGTCATGGAAAATTGTACCCAACAGAACACCCCCTACCCCTTTCAAGTTCATGCCCCCCAGCCACAGGAACATCCCCAGTCAACTCACAACAATCAGTGTGCAGAAAAAAAAAAAACGTGCAAACACATGATCAAAAGGGTATAAAAACAAGAATGATAATGCACCCAAAACCACCAACCTCCATGTATGAAGATCTCCAAAAAACATTACACAATTTAAGGGCCTTGAAACTATAACAACCTGCTCATCACAAGCTCTTTCCTCAGTGGTGGTGGGTGGGTGCTGTGGACAGTGTGGTGCTGGTAGCCTTGCTGCCTGTGGCAGAGTGTCAGGTGGATGTTATCAGCCGCAGAGGTGGAAGGGGAGCGCTGTATTTACATTTGTGTTCACACTTGTCACTTGTGTGATTGGTTCACAGCAATCACAAGGTATAAACCTACTCTGATCTGCGTTATCTAATGACAAGCACAACTGCAGGCAATCAAACGCCACATTGGCTATCTGTGCGTATTTTCTGCAGTGCTGTTTATAAATGGCACTCCAGAAAACTGTATCCGCCAACCCAATGTTGTTTTTTTCCAATAACAGAATGGTATTAAGATGATTAACCACGCGCCATCCAGATGATTTACCCCCTTTCCTGACCAGGCCATTTTTGGCATGACGGCGCTGTTTTACCTTAACTGACAATTGTGCGTAAACTAAATTTACATCCTTTTTTTCCGACGAATAGAGCTTTCTTTCGGTGGTATTTGATCGCCTGTGCTTTTTTTATTTTTTGCGCTATCAAAAAGAAAGGCTGACAGTTTTGAGAAAAAAAACAATATTTTTGACTTTTTTCTATTAAACATGTCCAGTAAAAAAATGTAAAAATCAAATTTCGCCATAAATTTCAGCCAAAATGTATTCTGCTCCATGTCTCTGCTACAAAAAAAATCACGATACGTGTAAATTATTTGGTTTACGTGAAGGGCGGTATATATGCTGGGCTTTAATTTTTACTACTAATGGTGGCGATCAGCGACTTATAGCAGAACTGTGGGACCGCGGCGCATATTCTGACACTGGGGGGGAAACGGACTTGTTCTCACTGACATCCCCAGTGACACCAATACAGTAATCAGTGCTAATAAAAAGCACTGACACTCTACTAATGACACTTGGCAGGAAGGGGCAATCAAAGGGTTAACTGTGTGCTATTTTACTATCTGGGCTGTATACAAAGAAACAAACAGAGGGCACACGGGCCCAGTGCATTATTAACCTCCCTGGCGGTGTTCCCGAGTGTAGCTCGGGGTAGAATTTCTATACCACAAGCAGTAACCCCGAGCTACACTCGGGCTTACCATGCGGCGCTGCTCTGGGGGTCCCTGCAGCACTTACCTTGTCCTTCGTTCCCACGATGTGTCCCCTGCAGCGTCCCCGGCCATCTCCTCCGGCCGATGCCGGCATCCGGCTTCTGTGTTCCGGTCCCCGTGACGTCGGGACGTACGGGCGCCGCCGGCGGCGGGAAATTTAAAAAATTTTAAAAATGTCATTTTTTTTTTTTCAATTTTAAATAGTAAAACATTGCTGTTTCATCCCATTTCACATACATATTGTCCCTAGTGCTTTGTCCTGTGCCCTGCCTGCATTTTGTCTGTTCTTTCTGCCTGGAAACTTAGAAAAGTCCATGGTGTCCAAAAAGCGTCCCTTTACGTCAAAAGCGGTTTTAGACCGGCTAGAGAACAGCGATAGTAAATCAGAACCACTTACAGAATTGAGTGATATTGATTTGTGGGGAAATTTTCCTAAAAATTACAGCCTACAATAAAAAACTATTTCCATGCGAAAAAATGGTACCGCTTTCAGCACAAAAAATCGGAAGGAATCATACCGCCAGGGAGGTTAAATAAATAAGTGGTAATATGCTCACAAAGGAACAAATGTCAAGGGCACATCATATATAGTACAACAAGGTCCAGTCACACTGGATGATATCCGTAATGGGGCTTCCAGTCCTCCAAACTAACGCGTTTCGAGGGCTTGCCTCTTCATCAGAGCCAATAATAATGTGTTTGTGCTTCACTGTAAGCACACTGCTTTGTACGGCTGTGCTATGCACAGCCATGCAAAGCAGTGTGCAGGAGCTGACAGGTGAGAGAACTGTTTTGTTTACAAACAGTTCTCCCCCCCCCCCCCATTGGAGATGCTCGGAAATCATCGGGAACTGGCGAATAATCACTGGCCGGGACCCGGTGATTGACAGCCGAGGCCGCGTGTAGGCGCATCCCCTACCCGTAATTGCAAAATCACGTATATATGTGAGTTTGCGCACTGCTGCTGCCCTGTAGCAGTATTTCTGCTATGAGGCGGCGCTAAAGCGGTTAAAGTGGTTGTAAAGGTTCCAGGTTTTTTACCTTCATGCATTCTATGCATGAAGGTAAGAAGTCTTCAGTGTGCAGCAGGCCTCCAGCCCCCCCAATACTTACCTGAGTCCCATCGTGATCCAGAGAGAGATGTGCACGAGAGCCTCGGCTGTCCCAAATCTCCCTCCTTACTGGCTGACAGCAGCAAGAGCCATTGCCTCCCACTGAATAATAGGTCCACCTGCGCTGCTAAACCTAACAATATATAAGGAAACAGCTGCCAACATCCAATCCTCACCTTTTAAATGGACATATACAGTAGGTATACAAACAATCAATGGTGATGCAGCGCTGATATAATTAGCGATAAAGTGTATATTAACCGTGAGAGAAAAGTGAATTCGGTGTTATACAGCCCGCACAAACACGGCACACAGTAATTTCTTCTATAACATATAATTGCTATTTAGCAGATATAAATGCAGTCCACAGTATATATAGATGAATAAATGTGTTCTTAGAAGACACACATGCTTCTGTGCTGGTGCAAAGTGGTAGGTGACAATCCTTAATGGCTAGCATGCCTGCTCACCTTCCCCCTGCGACCCACAGGGGCCAAAAAGCCTGTCGGGTCACACCTTGACCCTATGCGTTATCTCCAGGTGAAAGACACTCTCCACTCTCCAGTACTCTCTCCTTCACCATCTGCTATTCCCCTGAATAGGTACCCGCTGCACGTGTATTCACAATGCTCATGAGATGGTGATAGTCATGGAACAAAAACACAAAGATCCTCCATAGTGTAACACTGTATACCACGTTTATTTTAAAAAACGCCAAGTCACAACTCACATTTCAGCAGATGGAAAAACGCTTGTGACACCTCTCATGGGTGTACTGAGGCACTCTGGTGTAGCAAGATGGCGCCAACCCGGAAGTGCGTCACCGCGTCACTACGTCACATCTACGCGTTACGCCACGCCCCTCGTAGCTTCGTCAGGAGGATCCTGACGAAGCTACGAGGGGCGTGGCGTAACGCGTAGATGTGACGTAGTGACGCGGTGACGCACTTCCGGGTTGGCGCCATCTTGCTACACCAGAGTGCCTCAGTACACCCATGAGAGGTGTCACAAGCGTTTTTCCATCTGCTGAAATGTGAGTTGTGACTTGGCGTTTTTTAAAATAAACGTGGTATACAGTGTTACACTATGGAGGATCTTTGTGTTTTTTGTTCCATGACTATCACCATCTCATGAGCATTGTGAATACACGTGCAGCGGTACCTATTCAGGGGGGAATAGCAGATGGTGAAGGAGAGAGTACTGGAGAGTGGAGAGTGTCTTTCACCTGGAGATAACGCATAGGGTCAAGGTGTGACCCGACAGGCTTTTTGGCCCCTGTGGGTCGCAGGGGAAGGTGAGCAGGCATGCTAGCCATTTAAGGATTGTCACCTACCACTTTGCACCAGCACAGAAGCATGTGTGTCTTCTAAGAACACATTTATTCATCTATATATACTGTGGACTGGCATTTATATCTGCTAAATAGCAATTATATGTTATAGAAGAAATTACTGTGTGCCGTGTTTGTGCGGGCTGTATAACACCGAATTCACTTTTCTCTCACGGTTAATATACACTTTATCGCTAATTATATCAGCGCTGCATTGCCTCCCACTGCTGTCAATCATAGCCAGTGAGCCAATAAGGAGAGAGAATGGGCGGGGCTGAGCCATGGCTGTGTGTGTGAATGGGCACGCAGAGCAGCAGCTCAGGAATGAGCCTGCTTGGGTGCCCCCAGAGCAAGCTGCATGCTCTGGGGGCACTTGGCAGGAGGGAGGGGCCAGGAGCACCAGAGGGGAACCCGAGAAGAGGAGAATCGGGGCTGCTCTGGGCAGAGCACATAAGTATAACATGTTTTTTTTAATTGCCTTTATAATCACCTAATATCACTTTAAAGAGTACCTGTACTTACATCCAATCTGCTAAATTGCCTTTATTTTCCTCTAAAGTTTCCCGGGAGACCTGAAATCTCACAAATGACTTGTGCCATTTTTTTCCCAAACAGAGGAGTTTCAGTAGAGACTGAAATAATTGATAATTCTTCTGTAAGTCTCACATCCAACAATCTATAGGTCAAACAACCAAACACACAGCTGCGTTTTCAAATATGATCAATAATTCTGAATGTCTCCTGCTCAATTAAGGACAATTGGAGACAGTTTGAAAGATGCAATTATTACCAGTGTCGTGGCTTTAAAGGGCCACTGGAAATGAGCTGCCAGCTGGCTTACCTAAAACAGTTTTTATTCACCCTTTGTAGATAAATATATAAAATCACCAGCAATGTATCTAACACAGAAAAGAATATTTAAAATTAAGGTACAGTAGTGACTTCCTTTCCAATTATCACATACTGGACAACAGCCAGCACAGTGGCTTAGTGGTTAGCACTTCCGCCTGGCAGTACTCGGGTCATTGGTTCGAATTCCAACCACGGCACCACCTGCCTGGAGTTTGCATGTTCTCCCTGTGCCTGCATGGGTTTCCTCCGGGTATTCCGGTTTCCTCCCACACTCCAAAGACATGCAGGTAGGTTAACTGGATCCTGTCTAAATTGTCCCTAGTATGTGTACGTATGAATGTGAGTTAGGGACCTTAGATTGTACATTTCTTGAGGGTTAGGGACTGATGTGAATGTACAATATATATGTAAAGCGCTGCGTAAATTGACGGCGCTATATAAGTACCTGACATAAATTAAAAAATTTATTTTTTTTGTTGTTAACACACAGATCTGTGCCCCATCAGTAACACTCGGCAATTGCTGGGTGCCGGCGGGGTGATTGACAGCCGAGGCCACGAATGGTGGCTCGGGTAGGGCGCGCCCCCTACCTGGAATGGCAAAATCACGTATATACACTTGATTTTGCACAGAACGAAATTAAAACGAGAAGCGCAACAACCTTGCGCATTACCTCAGTAACCAAAATGTATTAATTATAAAAATATACTCACAAACAGCGAATAAAATCAGGCATGTAAGTCCTCAAAGGGACTTGAAGAGCTTCACTAGCTCCGATGAAGAAGGGACACCCGTCGAAACGCGTCAGCGGTACTGAATATCCATCCCCTCGATGGGATTCGCGCTATCTTCTAGCTCTGATGAAGAAGGGACACCCTTCGAAACGCGCGAGATGTACTGGATATCCATCCCCTCGATGGGATTCGCGCTATCTTCTAGCTCTGATGAAGAAGGGACACCCTTCGAAACGCGTCAGCTGTACTGAATATCCATCCCCTCGATGGGATTCGCGCTTTTAGCTCTGATGAAGAGACTCCCTTCAAAACGCGCCAGCTGTACTGAATATCCATCCCCTCGATGGGATTCGCGCTATCTTCTAGCTCTGATGAAGAAGGGACACCCTTCGAAACGCGCCAGCTGTACTGAATATCCATCCCCTTGATGGGATTCGCGCTATCTTCAAGTCCCTTTGAGGACTTACATGCCTGATTTTATTCGCTGTTTGCGAGTATATTTTTATAATTAATATATTTTGGTTACTGTGGTAATGCGCAAGGTTGGTGCGCTTCTCGTTTTCATTTCGTTCTGCAGTATTGGTCGGGCTTCCCCAGCCTTGTTTGGAGCCGCACAACCCTATATGCATTGGTGGACGATTTTTCCAGGTCTGGTTCCATCTATTCGCCACCCGTCTGGACCCTAGAGCGCAGGAGAATTCGTCTTTGATTTACTGACTTGATTTTGCGCACCCATGCAGGCTTTCTGCTATAAGGTGGCGAGGAAACGGTTAAGTAAATGTCTTTGGATAAATATGGGCATCACAATCAAATTGACTATGGTGTGGTAAGTATCTTGCAGAAAACTGTGGCCCAGGCGTGTGCCGATATTAGCCACCTCTGAGCCTGTACAAAGCAATGCCAGGCTGACAGCAGCCACAACTGTCCATCGGTGTTTGGAAGTAATCGCACAGAGAGCTGTTACCTGTGGTTAGGGACAGCTGTGTGCCCCCTAATGAGTCGCAAGTACATTTAATCGGAGAACTTGATCTAGGAAGCAAAAAGTTTGTTTATACTTCTTGATAACGGAGCGTTTCAGCATGCGGCTACTGTGAATCTATCTAAATGCTAAAATGTTTAGTTTTAGCATTTGGGCTGGTGTCCGGTTTGCTGCGTGGTGTCACTGTTTCGCCAGTGACATTTAAACTTCCACGGCAGGCATGAATTTACTTGGGTGACTATGGGAAACAGGGTGGATAAAAATCAATGATTTTCTTAAAAAAATGAAAAAAAAATCGGATTTTTTTTTATTTAAATCGGATTTTTTTGAATAAAATGCTTTTTGAGGAAAATATATTACCATCCAAAGGTTATTCCATCATGAGATAAAGATTAGTTTTTTTTAATTATGTAGAATAAGGCTGTATATGTTTAATTTTTTTGCTACATAAATTCCATGAATCCATTCACAATGTCGCTCTTCCAGAGCTTTCTGTAAGATTATTGGGCAGTTTCTCTGCCTACAAGATATTATCACAGATGTCGGTTTACTTTTGCAGTTCTCAAAACTGAATTTGACTCAGCGGAGATCACACGCCTCTTCTTCACAGCAAAAATGTTATAACATGAACAGAGTTAAGAAAAAGACCTTCATCCTAACTTCTACACACCTATGAATACAGAATCAACCCCTTCAGTGCTAAGTTTCAAGAAGTTCAGTGAATAGAATAGAAACAATATTTTTCTGATTGTTTGGAGTGGAATAGATCTGCACAAGAAGAAAGTGAGACTAAGGCTACGTTCACACTAGCGTTGTGTGCAGGCGGAAGAGAGGCGTTTGGGAAGCGTTTTTACCACTTCCCAAACGCCTCTGCCAATTCTGCACATTACAGCACATGGTGCTGTTCTAACGGGAGCGTTTGCGTCGCGCCAAAACGGACGCCTCTGGTCGAGTCAGGAGGCGTTGAAGCCTCCTATTCTAGTCTATTATTATTATTATTATTATTACTACGAGTTTATATAGCGCCAAAGGGTTTGCTCAGCGCTGTACAATAGGGGGGACAATACATTGTAGGGGGGACAGTCGCTTGTAGGGGGGATTTGCCGCTCCGCAAATGCCCGGCCGGCGTTTGCGGTGCGGTTGCGACGCGATTGCGGGGCGTTTGCGGAGCGGTAACACCATTCAAACTGCATTATAGGCGTTTGTGGGGCGTTTTTAACACTCTGCAAACGCCTAGCAACCGCCACTAAACCGCGCATGCGGCGTTTGTGGAGCGTTTGCCGAGCGTTAAAAAACGCTCCGCAAACGCCGGACCAACGCTTGCCAAACGCTATAGGGGGCGTTTGGCAAGCGATGGTAAAACAGCCAAGTGTGAACGAGCCCTTAGTGTGAGGAGGAAGGGGCTGACAGTCTAAGTTTCTTAAAATATATATATTTTGTTTAGCCAAATTAGTTACCAAACATGGATGTTTAAGCAAATAACAGATGCTGGAATGTTATTGTTTCAGTTGAATAAATCTATTTAAATTGTTATTATTAAGGTAATGACTATTTTTCTCCTTCCTAAATACAACAGAAAAGTTGTCCAAATATGAATGATTAACCTATTAAACTGGGGATAGAAAAACTAATCTGAAAAGTTGTTATTCTAAAAATCTTCATCTCCTTGCATATTACAGTTATACCAGCAAGAATTAGTCTTTATGTAGAAAACTAGGATTTACATCCAGCCTTACTGACTAGTGATTGAAATCGTGATTTAAATCAGTTTGATTTAAATCAAATCCACCCTGATGGGAAATACCTGAATCCTTTTAGACTTCACTAGACTTATTGTGATAGACAACAAGGCACCTGCAGTGGGTGTTTCAGGATCACCCCTATTGCCTCATAAGAAGAAGTTTCCAAATCAGATTATTGACAAAATGGAGTGTCGTGGACCAATACAATACAGCAATGTCTAGAACAGCCTTTCCCAACCTTTATACCTCAAAGGAACCCTTGAAATAATTTCCATGTCTCAAAGAACCTGTACTAAAATTTTTATCTACAGCTCTGGGTACATTAGCAAGATCAGTAAATTATAGATGTAATAATACATAAAAGAATAAAGAGCATTATGTAACTACAGCATTTCACATCCAAGGTGGACCATTTTAACACCCACATGCTCTGTATGATAAAACAATTTTAAATATTAGCCACAAATATAAAATAATATCTAGAGAAAAAAAAAACCAGACAGACTCCGTTACATTGGTGGTCAGCGGAGGAATGCCTCCTTGCATTGTTGGTCTTTAAAGATTTCCCCTATATTAGTGGTCAATGGGTGAAGGGTATCCCTACATTTACGTTCAGTGACAGGTAAAAATCCCCTTACTTTGGGTGCCAGTGGGAAGAATGCTCCTTATATTGATGGTCAGTGGGAAGAATGTCCTTTACATTGGGGGTCAGTGGGAAGAATGTCCTTTACATTGGGGGTCAGTGGGAAGAATGTCCTTACATTGGGTGATCAGTGGGAAGAATGCTCCTTACATTGGGTGGTCAGTGGGAAGAATGCTCCTTACATTGGGTGGTCAGTGGGAAGAATGCTCCTTACATTGGGTGGTCAGTGGGAAGAATGCTCCTTACATTGGGTGGTCAGTGGGAAGAATGTCCCTTACATTGGGGGATCAGTGGGAAGAATGTCCCTTACATTGGGGGTCAGTGGGAAGAATGTCCCTTACATTGGGGGTCAGTGGGAAGAATGTCCCTTACATTGGGGGGTCAGTGGGAAGAATGTCCCTTACATTGGTGGTCAGTGGGAAGAATGTCCCTTACATTGGGGGTCAGTGGGAAGAATGTCCCTTACATTGGGGGGTCAGTGGGAAGAATGCTCCTTATATTGATGGTCAGTGGGAAGAATGTCCCTTACATTGGGGGTCAGTGGGAAGAATGTCCCTTACATTGGTGGTCAGTGGGAAGAATGTCCCTTACATTGGTGATCAGTGGGAAGAATGTCCCTTACATTGGTGGTCAGTGGGAAGAATGTCCCTTACAATGATGGTCAGTGGGAAGAATGTCCCTTACATTGGAGGTCAGAGGGAAGAATGCCCCTTACATTGGGGGTCAGTGGGAAGAATGTCCTTTACATTGATGGTCAGTGGGAAGAATGCTCTTTATATTGATGGTCAGTGGGAAGAATGTCCCTTACATTGGGGGTTGGTGGGAAGAATGCCCTCTACATTGGTGATCAGTGGGAAGAATGTCCCTTACATTGGTGGACAGTGGAAAGAACATCCCTTACATTGGGTGTAAGTAGGAAGAATACTCTATATTGGTGGTCAGTGAAAAGAATGCTCCTTACATTTGTGGTCAGTTGGAAGCATTACCTTTACATTTTGTGCAAGTAGTAAGAATATTCCTTACATTGGTGATCCATTGGAAAAATGTCCCTTACATTGGTGATCATTTGGAAGAATGCTCCTTACACTGGTGGTCAGTAGGAAGAATGCTCCTTATATTGGTAGTCAGTGGGAAGAATGTCCCTTACATTGGTAGTCAGTGGGAAGAATGTCCCTTACATTGGTAGTCAGTTGGCGGAATGCTCCTTATAGTGGTGGTCAATAGGAAAAATGCTCCTTACATTGGTAGTCAGTAAGAGGAATGCTCCTTACATTGGTGGTCAGTGGGAAGAATGTCCCTTACATTGGTGGTCAGTGGGAAGAATGCTCCTTACATTGGTAGTCAGTAAGAGGAATGCTCCTTACATTGGTGGTCAGTGGGAAGAATGCTCCTTACATTGGTGATCAGTGGGAAGAATGTCCCTTACATTGGTGGTCAGTGGGAAGAATGTCCCTTACAATGATGGTCAGTGGGAAGAATGTCCCTTACAATGATGGTCAGTGGGAAGAATGTCCCTTACATTGGAGGTCAGAGGGAAGAATGCCCCTTACATTGGGGGTCAGTGGGAAGAATGTCCTTTACATTGATGGTCAGTGGGAAGAATGCTCTTTATATTGATGGTCAGTGGGAAGAATGTCCCTTACATTGGGGGTTGGTGGGAAGAATGCCCTCTACATTGGTGATCAGTGGGAAGAATGTCCCTTACATTGGTGGACAGTGGAAAGAACATCCCTTACATTGGGTGTAAGTAGGAAGAATACTCTATATTGGTGGTCAGTGAAAAGAATGCTCCTTACATTTGTGGTCAGTTGGAAGCATTACCTTTACATTTTGTGCAAGTAGTAAGAATATTCCTTACATTGGTGATCCATTGGAAAAATGTCCCTTACATTGGTGATCATTTGGAAGAATGCTCCTTACACTGGTGGTCAGTAGGAAGAATGCTCCTTATATTGGTAGTCAGTGGGAAGAATGTCCCTTACATTGGTAGTCAGTTGGCGGAATGCTCCTTATAGTGGTGGTCAATAGGAAAAATGCTCCTTACATTGGTAGTCAGTAAGAGGAATGCTCCTTACATTGGTGGTCAGTGGGAAGAATGTCCCTTACATTGGTGGTCAGTGGGAAGAATGCTCCTTACATTGGTAGTCAGTAAGAGGAATGCTCCTTACATTGGTGGTCAGTGGGAAGAATGCTCCTTACATTGGTAGTCAGTAAGAGGAATGCTCCTTACATTGGTGGTCAGTGGGAAGAATGTCCCTTACATTAGTGGTCATTGGGAAGAATGTCCCTTACATTGGTGGTCAGTGGGAAGAATGCTCCTTACATTGGTAGTCAGTAAGAGGAATGCTCCTTACATTGGTGGTCAGTGGGAAGAATGTCCCTTACATTGGTGGTCAGTAGGAAGAATGCTCCTTATATTGGTAGTCAGTGGGAAGAATGTCCCTTACATTGGTAGTCAGTTGGCGGAATGCTCCTTATAGTGGTGGTCAATAGGAAAAATGCTCCTTACATTGGTAGTCAGTGGGAAGAATGTCCCTTACATTGGTGGTCAGTGGGAAGAATGCTCCTTACATTGGTAGTCAGTAAGAGGAATGCTCCTTACATTGGTGGTCAGTGGGAAGAATGTCCCTTACATTGGTGGTCAGTGGGAAGAATGCTCCTTACATTGGTAGTCAGTAAGAGGAATGCTCCTTACATTGGTGGTCAGTGGGAAGAATGCTCCTTACATTGGTAGTCAGTAAGAGGAATGCTCCTTACATTGGTGGTCAGTGGGAAGAATGTCCCTTACATTAGTGGTCATTGGGAAGAATGTCCCTTACATTGGTGGTCAGTGGGAAGAATGCTCCTTACATTGGTAGTCAGTGTGAAGAATGCTCCTTACACTGGTGATCAGTGGGAAGAATGCTCCTTACATTGGTGATCAGTAGGAAGAATGCTCCTAACATTGGTGGTCAGTGGGAAGAATGCTCCTTACATTGGTGACCAGTGGGAAGAATGCTCCTTACATTGGTGACCAGTAGGAAGAATGATCCTAACATTGGTGTTCAGTGGGAAGAAATTATTTTACATTGGTGATAAGTAGGAAAAAATGCCCCTTACATTGGTGGTCAACAGAATGAAGGCCAATCTTACGAACAGCTAAAAAAAATTCATTGTCCTTAGTCCACTGACTCTGTCAAGTGGTAATGGTCCTGAAATTATGCAGGCTCCATTAGGATGAAGTTCAACCTGCCCTACCAAACTCTGGAGGAGCCCTATCATTCTACAAAAACTTAGTTGAGAAAGCTTAGTCTAGATACAAATATATCCTGCCCTGAGCAGGCTGAATATACTCCCAACTATGCAGCTCAAGGTCTAATGTTCTATATAACTGACCGGAGTGTACCTTTAAAAAGTACACTACCCTCTTCTATACAAGGGAGAAAAATAACTTGTTTGTACCAAAATTCCCACCAAATGGACTTGAAATTCATGACACTGCAGAAGTAGACAAATGTTTTTCCACCGTTGTGATGCCACATGTTTAAACTGGTATGGTAGGCTGCATTTTACCTTAGCCTCAGAAAACCCGTCTGCATCCTCTCAGCCTCAGCTAGAGGTACATGTCACATTAAACTGCTTTAGAATCCTGTTAAACAGCAGCCTGACGCTAATGAGCTAAAGGCCTCCACACAGCATAGAGTTTGACACAATGCAGGAGAAAAAAAAAACATTTTAAACCTTAAAGCACTGTTTCAGAAAGGAGATAAAAATTAATATTTAGTCCAAGTTATGGATCTGTCAAAGATGACTGTTTTGTATTTGCTGTTATCTCCTCATCACTTGCTGTAGAATTATCATTAGATATATTTTCTTAGGTCCATGCATACTAACTAATGTGTCAGTGTAACACTTCCAGGTATTGATTACCTCTCACAGAGAACACAGTACTCCCCCTGACAATGCCTGCATATGATTTTCTTTCCAGGATGGCACCATATTTTTTCAGGGATCATTCGGGTTTGCCAGCTAATACCTGGATTGAGATGTTGGCTCAAAGATGACACAACTGTATAAACCTTGGGAGTCTATGCCTTTCTTGGCTGTGTTCACAAACCTCTGACAGGGGTCAACATCTGCTGCACCCTTTCACCAAAGTTACAATCTGATCATCGGGGAAGCGGAGACTGGGGAAATGCTTCCTCGTGCCTGCAGCAGACTGATGACATCATCTCAGCCTAGGAAAAGTCACTGACTAGAACTCAGCGATGGCTGTTTAAAGTGTTACAAAACCCAGGACCCTGCATTCACTATATCTGCTCTCCCCGGACCCCGCATTCACTATATCCCCGGACCCCGCATTCACTATATCCGCTCTCCCCGGACCCCGCATTCACTATATCTGCTCTCCCCGGACCCCGCATTCACTATATCTGCTCTCCCCGGACCCCGCATTCACTATATCCGCTCTCCCCAGACCCTGCATTCACTATATCCGCTCTCCCTGTACCCTGCGTTCACTATATCCAGTCTCCCTGAACCCCACATTCACTATATGCGCTCTCCCCGGACCCCGCATTCACTATTTCCGCTCTCCCCGGACCCTGCATTCACTATATCCAGTCTCCCTGAACCCCGCATTCACTATATCCGCTCTCCCTGGACCCTGCATTCACTATATCTGGTCTCCCCGGACCCTGCATTCACTATATCCGCTCTCCCTGGACCCTGCGTTCACTATATCCAGTCTCCCTGAACCCCACATTCACTATATCCGCTCTCCCCGGACCCCGCATTCACTATTTCCGCTCTCCCCGGACCCTGCATTCACTATATCCAGTCTCCCTGAACCCCGCATTCACTATATCCGCTCTCCCTGGACCCTGCATTCACTATATCTGGTCTCCCCGGACCCTGCATTCACTATATCCGCTCTCCCTGGACCCTGCATTCACTATACTCGCTCTCCCTGGACCCTGCATTCACTATATCTGGTCTCCCCGGACCCTGCATTCACTATATCCAGTCTCCCTGGACCCTGCATTCACTATACTCGCTCTCCCCGGACCCCGCGTTCACTATATCTGGTCTCCCCGGACTCTGCAGTCACTATATTTGGTCTCCCCGGACCCCGCATTCACTATATCTGGTCTCCCCAGACTCTGCATTCACTATATCTGGTCTCCCCGGACCCGGCATTCACCATATCCACTCTCCCCGGACCCTGCATTTCACTATGCTCGCTCTCCCCGGACCCTGCATTCACTATATCCGCTCTCCCGGACCCCACATTCACTATATCCACATTCACTATATCCACTCTCCCCGGACCCCGCATTCACTATATCCACTCTCCCCGGACCCCGCATTCACTATATCCGGTCTCCCCGGACCCCGCATTCACTATATCCGCTCTCCCGGACCCCGCATTCACTATATCCGCTCTTCCCGGACCCTGCATTCACTATATCTGGTCTCCCACAGTACACAGAACATGGAAAGGGAATTATTCTAGTAAACTGATAAATATCTTTTCTCATCAGCAGTACATAGCAGTTTTGTGACTTCTAGCAGTGTCCAGCAGAGCAATGGTTAAAGCTTGTAGGAGGAGTTTTCATTCTCCCCTGATTCTCCTATGAAGCTGCATAACCCCTGACCCTCTGTCTAGACAGTGCTGATTGGCCCTGTGCTGACATGCCCTCTCCCAAGGAAAAAAAAAAAACTCTCCAGCAATACAACTGAGCATGTGCAGCTTGCCCCCAAGGCTCTGTTCTATCAGCAGATGGATTGGGGACAGTGGAAGAAGGGGAGGATCAGAGCAGACAGGATCAAACAGCCTTTCTACACAATGCGGAGGCTTAACCCCTTAGGTTCCAAAAATCTGCACATGATCCGTGACATGCAAGAAGAAGACGAAAAAGAAGAAAAGAAGAATTCCAGTCCACTATTATATTTTGTATGAAAAGTCTTGCGGTTGCAACAATGTATCTATTTGTATCCGAATAAAAACATCTGTATCCGAAATGGATTCAAATGGATACATTGTTGCAACCGCAAGACTTTTTCATGTAAAATATAATAGCAGAGCTCTCTGCAAGGGACAGAAGTAAAAATGCCGGCCGTAGACAGGATGAAAATCGGCCGATTTTTTTTTTTTGCCGTTGGTAGTAACGTCGGCCGATTGAACATCCGATTTTTCTTTTTTTTTAAAAAAAAAGGCCAATTTTTGACCCGTCTATGGCCTGCATAAAGCTACGTTCACACTAGCTTTGTCAGCAGGTGTCAGACAGGCGTTTGGAAAGCGTTTTTTAACACTTCTCAAATGCCTATGAAAATCCTGCACATGGCAGCACACAGTGCTGTTCACACTGAAGCGTTGCGTCACGTTGCGTCACAGCAAAACTGACGCCTCATATCCAGTCAGGAGGAGTTGAAGCCTCCCATTCAAGTCTATGATGCCGCTCCTCAAATGCCTGCCAGGCGTTTACGGGCACTTGTGATGCGGTTGCGAAGCGTTTGCGGAGTGTTAAGACCATTTAACTTCATTATAGGTATTTGTGGTGCAGTTTTAACGATTGGCAAACGCCTATCAAATGGTTCAAAACCGCGCATGGAACATTTAAGGAGAGTTTGAGGAGCATTAAAAAACGCTTCCCAAACGCCTGTCTAACGCTATAGGGGCATTTAGCAAGAGTTAGAAATATTTCAAGTGTGAACGAGCCCTAAGTCCGACTGGAATACTCCCAGAGATGGCATCATCCCATCCTGCCTTGTTGCTAGGACGTTGCTAAGACACTCCCAGCCATTACAGCTCACACGCACACAGAAGAAAGCTCCCAAACATACGTGTGGTACACCGTCTCCTCCATCACAGTATTGCTCAACTCAAAGCTACTGTGACAAGGGAGAGAAAGTGCATGCAAGGGGTTTGAGTCAGCTGGGAGTGCAGAATGGGATGATGCCATCTCTGGGAGTTTTTCAGTCAGGCTTTGAGAGGTAGGTAAATGGCCTACACCTATAGCAAGGGCATTACTTAACTGTAGTCAAAGCTGCGCAATTTGTTTTTATCAACAGTTGCCCCTTACCTACATCTGCATTATTTTTGTTGGTAAAGGTGAACTAACCTTTTCCAGCGGTATTAAACCCAAAAGCAAACATTATATTGCTGCTTACCAATTCTTAGATTTGGTGGTTGAACTTGTATTCTTTTTTTAAGCTTTCACTACTTATTTTCAGCCGGTGATCCTGCCAGTAAGTCTGTTGTTTTTCAAAAAAACAACAATCTCTCCTGCAGATGTTGCAGTTACAGGGATGAAACAAACCATTTACCACTGACAGGGTTGCTTACAATGATCAGCTTTTGTTTATTTATGTAAAAAAATTGTTTGCAGTAACTGGTTATAAAGTGTTAGCTGGAGTTCTGTTCTGAAAAGAAAATTCTTGGCCACAAAAATTCTTTTTTTGTAGCAATGTGAGGTGAAATTAAAGACTTGGTTGGGTGAATTTCGAAATCAATGGTGGCACCGTCGGATTACAAAACACACAAAATTTCCAATTTTGTAAAGACGTGATTGTAGCCGTATTAGTGCACTTGCAACAGAAACAATTGAGTATCAATATTATCAATATATTGGTTACAACAAAAGTATCACGTCAGTACTCAATTTTGTAAAGAAAATTTGTTCGAAATTCAACCCGTGCATGGCCTGCATTAGTATAAAAAATATAAACTTCAGCTTATAGAAAGCAAACTTCAACAGAACAATTCCTTTTTTTTTTTAAAAGGACTAACTCCACCCACAACCTCTCCTTCGCTTCGGGTGGTCACCGATGAGTTGAATCACCTACCAGCTTCTGACAGGTCTGAGATTCAGAAAGCTTGCTCAGCTCCCACTCCTCCCAGCAGGCCGTAACAAAGGTGTCACACTCTGGATCCTC